GGCCGGGCGGGCAGGCGCTCGTGGGGAGGGCCCAGTTCGGACGGCACAAGGACACGGTCCCTCTGCTAGTCTTCTATTTCAGGTTATTTTTATTAGAATGGTGTTTCAAATTCAACACAGAAAAGCTGATAAAACGCCCCTTCAGAACACATCACGCTAAAGGGAAGTAAAAATTGATTTCAGCGTCAGAACAAGCATCAGCCCAATTTTTTTCTCTCACAGCTGCCATAGAGATAATGCTGCTACAGACTGCAGTCATAAACTGATATCCCAGCTCTGCCTCAAATCAGAACTTGTGCTATAGCAACGAGTATGCTGTAAAGGAAATGGCTTATGTATTGTAGAAGCTAGGCGTGGGCGGAGCACCAGCAGAGAGGAGGAAGTAAGACTGACAAGCTTTACTTATGTACATTTTCTGTGAACAGCAGCTCATGCTGTTAATCACTGCTTTCCAAAGGCTGCAAAAGGTAGCATTTGAAGGCTTAAGATAACCCGTTTTTTTTCTTTTTCGTTACATATGAAATACATTTTGCTACAAAACTAGAGCTGTCAGGCTAAATAAAAGTAAAAATATGAATCTTTAATGTAGGGATATTACAGGGCTATGCTTCATCAGTTCCTGTTCAATCTCTGCAGGATATCAAAACTGGCTGAGGTTCTCCTGTAACAAATGAAGCTCCTACTGAAATCAATTACTCAGGAAAAAATAGACAAGGAAAACAAGGATAATGATGTTAAGGAGATAATACAGGCATTAGCTGTTTACATCGTTATCTTTAGAACAAACTGGTTGACAGGCTAAGAAGGAAACGTGTGTGGTGCTTTTTCATAATTGCCCCCTGGAGGGTTTTGGTCCCTTCCCTGTGAAACAGGTACTAGGGACAAGACTAAGTGGGTACTTCTGACTTATATGGCAGTTACTGCGTATCTGGAACAATCACGAATTGGAGGGCATAAGTTTGCTAATTAAATACTGACATCTGGATTAAATCCATCATCTGGAGCATGAACTGTATTTGAGGAAGTTTACATCCTGGTTTGGATTTAGTTACCTTTGAATAGCTTTCTTACTGAACACCCATGGAATAGTTTATTGGAAATGGTTCTGTACTGCTGGCAAAAAACCAAATATTTTTGCAGTGTCAGAGCTGAAACAAAAGAATAGCAGCACAATAAACTGTGAGCACTCTATATCCAGTTTTAATAGCTATAACCCAGCCTGTGACACCTGATCATTAAATAGGGCTGCTCAGGCTAGTTCATGAAAATTTGGATGAGTTGTTAACTATCTATGATCTTAAAGCAACAGGGAAGAATTCTTATAGTTAGGACGGGGACAATTTTCTATTCCTGGACGAGTTTAAAAAAATTCCTTCAAATACTAAGATCATGTAGAGAAAACTGCCAAACAGTACTGCCAATGCATTATGTGCCCTACAACAACATGAAACAACAAAACAGGCTATATTTCTGGCTTCTGTTCAATGTACTAGTAGATGTTTAACATGTTGATTTCCAGCTTAATATATACCAATCATCCAGAGAACTAAACCAGTAACTGGTATTATTCTGCTCCTGATATGCAGTGCAAATATCCCATATACCCAAATAGTAGCAAAAACCCAGAGTATGAGCAACAATTACGCTCAGAAAAACAAAGGCACTGTTCAGGAAAAAAAATCTTCAATAGAAAGTAGGTTGTTCAAGTTTTAATTTATAGAAAAATTCTTTCTAACTACCACTTTTCCCTGTTTTCAAAAGGCACTTAGATGTTTTTGTTTTTCCAGGGGGTGGGGGCAGGGAAGCAAGAGAAGTTTCTGCAAACAGCCTTTGTATTCAGTGCATCTCAAAAGCAGGACTGGGCATATTCCAACTTGCTCAGGAAACAGTAAGCATGTAAAGAAGTAACCTTTGGTCATCTCATTACTTTCTGATGCTACGAACTTGAGGAATTAAAACCTAATGGTGTGCATAGATGTGTTTCAAAAAATACTGCCATTACATGTGGGGTCTGTGCGTGTGTGAGAGGGAGATAACATACCTTTCTGTCCTTTTAGGGCAGTTATCTTGGAACCTGAACCATGCACCTGCCTATCACAGTATTTTTACCTGCTGTCCTGGAAAGCTGCCTTGCTCTGAATGGCAAAATAATGCAGATGCTACTGAACAGAGGTGTCTTCTTTCTGTCAGTCTTACCTTGGGAGAAAACACCCCAATTGTACACTACCTCATTTACTCTTTAGGGCAGAATCAGTTTTAGGGACAGTATCAAGTGTCTCTGGGACCCAGGAAATTGCTTTGGCCAAGTCAGAAGTTATCTTCTGTGAGAAACTTACATCTTAGTGCCTGCTTGTGAATCCCTGAGGATTTGCTGCCAGCATCATTCTCCCAGCTGAGACTGTCATAGGAATAGACAGTAGATCAGGGGCAGATTTCCTGGTCTGATGCTTGCAGAGTAAGATCCCAGGCCCTGCCTTTTCATGACATCTGTAGCTGATCAGCTGTGAACAGAGGAATGCAAGTCTAACTCTTCTCTGGTGCATGATATACTGTCTCCCTTTCAGCTGGGGACCTGAAGCTAAGCCTCGAAATTGCTCACTTGGCAGTGCCTCCTGCTCCTGCATGCTCAGCTGCTCTTGCATTTAGTGCGCAGCTGTCTCACTGTTCCTGGATAGTCACAGTTTGTGGTTGAACAATTTGCAAAGAGAAAGGAGATCCATGTAAGAGAAAGCAACATGTGTCAATTAAATAGGAAACATGGAACAGCAGCACATTTTCCACTGCTGAAATAACAGAAAAGTGAGAGGAGTTTGAGTTTCTTTGGGAACAGGAGAGATGAACATCACAAGGGATGTATATTCCATACAAATATGTGCACTGGAATTGAAACATTTTTTTAAAGTCCCATTTCTTCCATTATGTTTCAATGAAGTAAAGACTCCATGACTTGTAAATGCGCAGCCGTGTTAGAAGTCGTGGACCGTTTTACTGAGATGTATAATTTAGTTGAACTCTTCCCCAACGTACTCACTCTCTTTAATATAGAACATAAGAGAATCTAATCACAACTGCATCAGAAATCTGAACTAGTAAAAATAAGAGAGCATAGCTGCTATGTGGACGTTGCTAGCACAGCCTCACTTTGTGAAAACATCTGCTTGGGGAAAAAGATTCCCTGAAATGGTGAATTACCTGGAATAAGCCAAAAATTAATTAAAGATTAAAGATTTGTGAGCCCTTGATGTAATTCATTTTCCCCTTCAGGGGAGAACCTTTCTAGGCTGTTTTAAAAGGAACATTCTCATATGAATAAATATGAAAAATATTTTTTTCTATATTTTTATTTTTCTATGTAAACGCAAGCCCTGAGGTATTTCAAGAATACAGTGTAATTTTTATATCTGTCATGCAATGTATAACTGCCAGTATGAAAGTTTACTTTATGGTTCTGTAAAAATGTCCTACCTACCTTTTCTGCTTTACACCCACAAGAAAGGGTGAGAGGTTGAGGTAAGAGCCCCATGGAAGCTGTGATAGTCACAGAAGCAGAAACAGAGGATATTAAAGTGCTACATGTCTTTCCCTGACCTTTTTCACTCTTTAGTTGGCTGCCACGGACCAGTTAGTCAGATTCCATGGGGTATCTGACAAAGCTGCTGCTTTTCTGGATACAGGCTCCACTCCTGCACTAGCATAAGTACCATGCAGAATCTTTCAGGATAAAGGGACAGCTGAATAAAAATTTTAGTGGCCCCTTTAATTCGCTGATTTTTGTCTCGTTCTAGTTTGGGAAGCTTAAGTATATTTTGCACTGTGATTGCTCACAAATGACTGCGTATCTTGCCAGCTTTCCCCCTCTTGCTCTTTCCCCCTCTTCATTTAGCCTGGAGACCCTTGGGCATGTTTCTCCCCCAGAGCTTTCTGCATCTGCATGAAGGTTACAGTCCTTAAATAAATAAATAAATAAAAATCCAGGCTGTGCATGACAGTGAAGTCAACAGGTCTACTCACATCAGTAAAAGTTTGCAGGAGCAGGCCCTTAGACGTTACATTTTTTATGAAGTCCAGTTTTATTAATTCTATTCTCTTTGGGCTTTGGGAAGAATAGTTACAAAATGGATCATCGGTAATATTTTTTTAAAATGACATTTGTTCCTATGCTAATTCTTGGCAAAAGGGCTCAGTATGAAAGGGTTTCAAGCTGTGTAAGCTTATGGATGTGTGCACGCTCTTGCACAGTGAGGCCTTGGAAGAATATGTATGTAAACATGTGCACACACCACATATCCCATTTGCACGTACTTACCTAAACAAGGTACTGAATAGACAGATACCTGCACATGTGCATATGTATCTGTAAGGAGAGATATGCCTATGCTTACACAATGTCTATAGATTTGTAAACTCTTAATTGCATGTATACAAACATTAAAAATCAAATTGGTCTGAGATGCCATATTTGTTTTTTTCATTATAAAGGACATTTAAAACCTCTTTTTTTGTTCATATCAGTTTCCCTATAATAAATGCAATTCACCAGCTCACCTAATGGGATATTTTCTTCTCAGTATGTTAAAACACTAATTAAAATGTATTACAATTATTAAGTTGGGTAGAAGAGCGCTTCTTGTAAAGTTTAGTGTGGGACTCCTGGGACATAGTTGTCCAGCGAGAATTTTAGATCATGTCTCTTGTATTACGGATCGCACAGCAGAGGACCATGCTGAATATCATGCCAAAGATCTAGAAGAGAAGGAATGCAATTTAGGGATCCATTTACAAAAGAGTTGTAGAACAGTCTGTATATCAGAACAATCTGAAGGTTCTCATTGCTGGGTAGCAGGCAACAGCTTCCATCTCCAAATCCCAAGACATCCGTTAATCAGCATGAAAGAGACTTTACTGGTACTCAAAGCCAAGATTTTATCTGCTCGCACTGGTTTCATTGTTCTGTTTTCTAAATGTTATGGCCAACATAACAGCCCCCAGACATTAATATTATTAACATGAGTTGTACTGCTATCAATAATTGTGACTGTTGGCATTACACCTAGTATTGCACCAAAAGGCTCTGTGTTCCAGAATGGTTATACATGGAGTAGCATAGGCACTTTTGAATAAGAGCAGAGAATGAGTCCAGAGGAATCAAGTCTGTGGAACTGATGTTGAGCATTGCAGTTCTGCAGAGAAGCCTAAGCTCTTAACAGTTACTATGCAAGATCTTACATTAAATATAAAAGCATGCTCATGTTAGAGAACAGTTAACTAGAGGAAATGTTAAAAACTGAGAACGGTGGCTGTTGCCAGAATCTCCCAAAATTTCTTTTTGCCACAGGTTCTCCAAAGCAGAGTTAGCAGCTACTTGTTGAGGCTTCACTGCTGATGATGGGAGATGGTCTATAGTAACATGCAGTTAAGCTAATGAGTCACATCCCCTCCCCACCTACCCTCTTAAAAAAGAAAAGGGAGATAGTTGACCAGCCATAGTCCATTTTTTTAGAAACAAGCATGGAAAAATGTAGTGACACATTTCTGCTGTTAAAAGAGGGCATCATTCCATAATTTCTACTGTATCTAAGATGGGAAGGCATAGATGAGATGCTCATATTTCTAGCATATCCTTGATGAGCAACCTGGTTATCAGAACTTTGTCCCACTTGTTGCTTTGTGTTTTTGAGTACACCATCACATGTTATACAAGTCACAGCTCAAGTGATCCAGGCTTGTTTAAATCCTCTTTACCCACTCCACAGCTTATATTACATACATAAACTCTTCATCTGCTTTAAAGTGTCCACCTAAGTCCATGAATCTGCTGCTCGTCAGACCAGCTAGAAGTGTATTTCTTTACAAATCTTCTAGGTCTTCATGCTGTTACTTGTTTCCTAATCTGAATCCATGTCATGGCAGACACAGGCTGGAAAATGCTCTCTCTTAAAGCCTGTATTTGACACAGACTGCCCACTCCTGCCAGATCCCTGCAGCAGGGTGACATCTATTGGTCACAGCTCCATCATGAAGGAGTAGACCTTGGGAAAACAGCAATACACGCTTGCAGGAGAAGGCGCAGTGTAAGCAAAGTTAGATGCTTTGGTGACATCAATAGATGAATGAGCTTCCTTTAGCTAGGTGCTGTAAATTTAGGAGAGAAATACTGTTCTGAAAACTGCAGTTTAAATCCCATTCCTTCAGTACAATACATACAAAACTGATCATCGGAGAGGGAACATACTCTCCATTCCTTATGAAGTCTAAGGAATGGATCCTCAAAGGGAGAAGAGTATCAATGCTTGCAGTTGTTTTGAAATAGATGAAATGCCACTGTGGCCTTTTGCTTTTCAGTTCAATCCCTGTACACATATCTTTCCTACTATTAAAACAGCAAAATGAGATTACCATTAGATATTCCGGCACCAACCTGAGGACACAAAATAAACCAGTAAAACTGGAAATCACTCAAATCTGTTTGCACAGTTGTAAGCAATTCCCAGAGAGAGGACACACTGAGGGTGATAAGAATAGCTGCAGCTTTGAGAAATCTCACCAGCTGCTGCAAAACATTTTCCACAAAGCTTTGAGTAAAGGACAGGGTACTGTGCTCAAATTTAGATAAAGAGAGTGACAGCATGGATTTACTCACTGTGATGCCAGCAATTGCAATTCCAACAATTCCAACTAAATGCAGATTAGCATCAATTACATTCTGGATTTCAACCAGGCAGTTCTATTAAAAATAAAATTAAAATTTTTTCACTCCTGGAAAAATACACTCCAACCAACTCTGTCAACTCTTCTCACTAAGCAACAGATGAACAAGAAAAAGGTTATTGCAGTCACTATCCTAATTTTTGTGTCTATGCTTTGTGTTTTGTTGGACAATTTTCATAGTATATTCTCTTTTCTAGTGAGACATCTGTACTTTCATGTGCTGTTGTTTACCCATTGCCTGTGCAGGTTGACGTGCAGAAGTCATCTTCTTACCATCAGTTTTCTGTAAATTTAAAACCCTTTCTGTGTCAGGCTATGCTAAATTAAAAAGTTTTGCCCTTCAGATTAATGTTGTGCCTGCAAGCAGATTCCGCAAAAGATAGAAACAGCAGTATCCTTCTCAACAACATCAAAGCTGCTAGTTAGGAGTCCCTATGCATGATTAAGACAGACACTTGCCAAAGTTCAGCTTTTATGGGGCCTTTCATTTAGGATTTCTATTCTTCTACATCCTTCCCACTTTGTTTTTCAGATGATATAATACTGTCACACCTACCACGGAAGGCTACAAGCAGGCTTCAGAAATGAGGGTTGGAGGAGTTTAATACGACCTCCAACTTAACTTCTACCTCCACTCTACTCCCCTTCATATGGAATTTCCATGGAATTTGCAAGGTAAAAAGGAAGTTCTCCATTTCTTTTACTTACAGAATGTTTCCTTAAATGATTACATGAAAAGGTGATCTTTTAAATAATCAGGTGCTAACTGCCTTTTGTCCAAAATACCACACCTGCTTACTGGATACTAAACTCTCAACCCAGTTGGCTCTCTGGGCCATGAAACTCATTTCAGCTTCATGCCACCATCTGTGGTATCTTTGTTCCCTGTCAACAGGGAAACTTGTTTTTCAAACTATGACATGTCTACAGAAAGGTCGTTAGAAAAAACAGAACAGAGAACACTTGCCTTTGGCATCTGGATGTTTTCTGGACAGGGTAATCCCATTTGTTGTTCCATACTATCTTTACCACAGCATTGGAGCTATGTAAGAGGAAGAGAGAGAGAGAGATGGGTAGAGTCAAAAGAAGGGAGAAACCATAGGAAATAGAAGTTGTTAAATGGAGAAAGCAGAAAGTTCAAATAGCACATACAGTATTATGGGCAACACACAAAATCTGCAACAGAACATGCTGGAATCTTTATATCAGACAAAATGTAGTGCCAGGTTTGGAGACAGTGATAAATCAGAGTGTTTTAGAGGGTTTGTTTTTCCTGTTTGCATATCTCCTACCAAATGCTTGGAATTCCTCTTCGGGTCAGAAATAACAGCCATGGGAGAAGGACAGAAGGGTCTGAGGTTGTGAAATATTTGTTATAAAGAACGTGGGAATGCTGTAAGCAGCAATAAAGGGGGGGGGGGCTTGATCTCTGTGGGAGGCAGTGTAGATAGAAAAAGAACTCAAGTAGGATTCAGGAAGTTACAGGTTCTAATCTGGTTTAGACACTAACTCTCTGGGTGGCCTGAGCTGGGTCACATTATTATGTGCTTTTAGTTCTTTCGCTGTATCCTGCCCTTAGTGACAGGATTTGCCACTTAATATTATTGGTAACATTGTAGGGCCTGGGACACTGGATACAGTTTTTTCTCTGACAAATGTAGAGATGGATTCAGATGTTTCTACTTCTCTCTGTGTTTATGAGTATTTATTCTTGGATTTTAAAATCCAAAAGGGCCATAATAGTCACATCTTTTGTACAAAGACCAGAAGCATTAGCTCAAATTTAAAAGCCTGGCCATTTTCACTTTTAAAGGCAAGGATCACTTGGGATCTGAAACCCAGAACTTTGTCATAGCCACCAGGAAACACAGTTACGAGCCTCTGGCTTCAGTTTAAGTATCTCTTTGTTCTATTCTTTCATGTCTCAGTGGGTGACATTCTGAATTTTAAAAGGTACTGTGAAGCAGAGAAGTAGTGCAAGGTATTCAGGAGGGCTACTCACAGCTGAGTGGTAGTGATAGATAGTTCCATTGACCTTTTCTGGGCTTTTCATATAGTCATCATAAATGTCTTCATAGATTTTCTGGGCTTCCTGTATTGCCTGCAGAAATCAGACTTTTCAAGTGAGAGGCAAATAAGTCCTACCCAAAATCCAGTGCAAACTTCCAGCTTGTCATCAACCTCCAGAGCAGGAAATTATTTCTGGTAAACTGAGGCAGACATGATAGGAAAGATAGGAGCTTTAGGGGCCCAGTGGCGTTCAGAGCGACTCCCCATGGGGCAGAATCTACAGATGCTGTATTCTGTGTTTTGGTCAAACACTCATTGTAATGTTAGAGAAGTTCACTGCTTGAGTTTGTCTGCACTTCTCCCAAGTTATGCCCCCTTATCATATAGTTCTACTTGATGTTTCTCTTGGGCATAAGGCTCAATCACGCCTATAGATTTTCTTTAATAGAGGGGAACAGAAACTGCATCCTGTTCTGAAATGGGACTTGTGAGAACACAAGCTTTTTGTGGACTACAGATAAGAATGTCAGAGAGTCTTCCTGGGAAAAGTCTCCTGCAAAGCTTTCCAATGCACGGCCCAGACTGTAGACCAGTTGGTCACGGGAATCCAGAACTTACAGTAGAAGTAGACTGCTACTCACCCCTTTCTTGCCTATAAAGGCAAATACTCCAGCAGTGACCTCAGCAGCAAATATCACCAATAAGCAAGCAAAAAACTGCAGAGGGAGAAGAGAACCTTATGTTAATTTACTTTGCACAGTGTGCTTAATATGGACTGCCAGTCAGTCCCTCATCCTTGTCCAGGCCTCAACAGCACATGCAGTAACTGATAGAGAAAGCTGGTAAGCAGGGTCAATGAGAAGGATGTCAAGTCAGATTTCTTGTAATATGAAAACAGAGGTGAAAAAGAAGTGGCTCAGATAGTAGTTTCAATGGAGAAGACAGAAGGTAGTTTCTGGGAACACCTCATAGGAGATAAGCAATTGAACTCTTCTTCACGTATGGAAACTCTGCAATAGCACCATGGCTGGAGATGATAAATTAGCCAGTAAAAGGACATGAGACATTTCAGATCTCAGACAGCAAAAATCTTTCCACTAATAACACAAAATATATGCTTTTAGATGATTTTCCAGCACAGACCAGGCCCTTGAAACCTTTTACTTACTGCTCCAAGTAAGCACTGAGACTCCCGCGCTGCTCCACAGCACCCAAAAAATCCAACTGTGGTCATCAGAGCCCCTGCTCCCACCAATACATAGAGTCCTATGGAAAATCAGAATCAGACAGGAATTTAAGCAGGTTTCTCTTCCCAAAGCCTGCTATCTGTTTTGTCAAAACCACACATTCGCATCCAAAACAAACTACTGAGTCTGCCTCTCACGAGAACATCCCAGCTGCACAGAAAGGTTGCTCTCACCACAAAAGGAGCTCAAAGATTTCTTCAGAAGTCTTGGGAAACCTCATGAAGACCAATGAGAAGGCTTCTACCTGTCACCCACTGAGGTAAGGGAAATAGCACTCATCTCTGACACCTATAATGCTGCTGCAAATACACAAGTCCAACATGGTATTTTGTACGGGCCCTGTCTAGGACAAAAGGAAACTAGAGCACAGAATTCTTCTTTCCTCACTTGTAAATGTAAACTGCTTGATCTGTGCTTAGGCAATGCACACCTTTGCATGTGATGTCAGCTCCCATCAGACCACAACAACTGTTTGTGCACTGTCTCTGGGTGCAGTGCCAGCCAAAGTATCAAAAACTCTGTGCACTGCCTTTTAATTCTGGTCTTTGTCTTGTGTGAGCAATGCTGAGGACACACAAGAGACTTGCCATGCTTATCTACTGCTAGAAAAATCCGCTGCATTTGCCTTCCCAAGCCATTACGAGGGGACAGTGGAGCTACAGACTGCACACTAGAGGGCACAGTGAGTCCTGCTCTCAGATTTGACCATGCAAATTTTTCATGAGAATGTTTAGTATTTTCAAATACATTTTTTTAATACAATTTTAAATCTGACCCAAATCTTTAGGGTTAACAGAGCTGCTGACAGTTACTGCTAGCAGGTCTTGTCCAATCTAGACTAGAAGACCCTACAAATGACAATTTGCAATTATTACTAGGAAAATGAAAAAACAAACTATGAATATGTGAGCGTGGAGGATCTAGCCACATATATGCATACAAAATTATATAAGCTGTTTCAGTGCTCATCATCATGACTTAATTTGGACTACCTCACAGCTGCAGCCTGCTTGAAGAAGGCGGGTTTCTGCCTGGCCATTCATTGTGTTGTCACTGTCCAGTCACTGGGTATCACCCAGGTATGCATCCCACCTCTTCTGATTCTTCTCCCCTCCCCTTCCTCCTTGCCCCGTACCTTTCTTGTAGCAAGGGTTGCCAGTGAAGAGCACGCTGTGCTAAATACTGATCAAGTAATTTTAATTAATATGGCTTTTGCCAGGTCTGAGATGACAGATAAGTGGGATTTGCTGCTGAATATGCTGACAGATCATATTCTGTATTTTCCAGAATCTTAATATTCAGCACCTCGTGACTCACCAGGACTAAGTATTCTTCAAGCTAATGCTTGTACACGTTTCCACAATGCAGTTGCTTTCACAGAGGGAGGGATGCACAAAGACGTGTATGGGTCAGGAATAAAGGTCAGCCCCTTCTGGAGGGTGAACTGGAAAAACACTCTAGTTGCATCTTCTCTCAGGTGCAGTACCTCATGTTCATTTGCCATACATGAGAACTGTCATTTTGAAATCTCCATGGTGACAAATGCTGTGTAATTATGAAGATGTTTCTTGGATCCTTTTTTGCATGTCACTCCCTACTCCAGTCCCTGTAATTACTTGTTAGGCAACTGGAGAGAGAGACTTTTCTGTTAAGAGGACTGGAAAGAAGTCTTCCCATTTCTTTTTGTTGTTTCTAGCTGGAGAAGACAAAGTTCTTTGAGGCTCAGGGGTAAGTCCACTTTCAGGAATTTGAATTTGCTCGTCTGGGAAACAGACTTAGCGTTTCACTTGCATGACTCATAGCTAAACCGCTACTTCAATCAGAACTTCCCTTTTAAGGCGTGTTACAGGAAGAACTTCTCACACCGCTCGCTAAACAAAGCAGAACTTGCTGCAGGTCCTGGCCTCTCAGTTGTGCTAGCCAAGAGTTTAAAACCACCTCTTTCCATCTCCTGTTCAGGAGAGTTCATTTCCAGCGTTTGTCCTTGCTCAGCCTGGGACTGGTAATTCCTGATACTCATAGTGCTATTTCTAGCTGGAAAATACTGAGGACACTTTAAAAAAATCCACAAAACTAAAGGTGTTTTTAAATATCTACTATATATACACACATAACCTTTCACACAGGAAGGAGGCACTTTAAGAGTTGCTTGAAAAAAATTCAAAGGGAGCAGCTTGCTTCTCGGCTTGCACTGAGGATTCCTAGTCCCCAGATCCAGGTGCACGCAGCTGGAAGATGCTTTTCTGGAAGGATATCCGAGGAATAGATTCAGAAACGTCCCAGATAGTGTCAGTATCTAAGATAGGGAGCTAGGATTCCTTTTCCTTGGGCAGGGGGAAGTAAGTAGTAAAGGAGAAATACGCCAAATATAAGCAGCATGGAGGTATCACCTGAAATTCTGTAATAGGAATAGACCTA